AAAAATCTTGTTTTTTTTTAAATAAAATTTTTGGTTGATTTTTGATTAAACAAACCAAACCTTTTTATTTTTAAAAAAAATATTATATATTAATAAATTTTGAATAAATTTTGAAGGAAGTTGTTTATTTTTTTTAAAAATTTAAAGTTTATTTTAAAAGTTTTAATTTATTTAATAATGCCATTAAATCTGGAAATTTAAGATAAAATATTTAAATTTAATTTTTTTTGGATAAGCATTTGATGGAACAAAATGAAAAAAAATAAAAAAAATAATTTTTTTTTTTTATTTTTTGAAAATTTAATTGTTTATGTATATTCCTTTTTTATTTTTTTTCCTTTTTAATTTTTCATTGAATATTTTTTTAAAAAGATATTTTAATGAATTGCTTTTGCAGATTATTAAGTGGTTTGTTAATTTTGATATCTTGCCAAATTTTTTTTTTTTGCTTTCATTTTTAATTCATACATTATTAAAAAAAATTTTCATTTGAAAAATTATTAAATTTATAAAAAAATTTTTTTAATTTTTTTTATGTCATTCTATTTTATTTTTTTTTTTGTTTTTTTTAATATCATTAGTTTTGTGAATTTGTTTTTCTTTAAAAAAACAAAATGTAAATTCTATTTTTTTTTTTATTGGAACATAATATTGAATGTGTTATTTAAAATTATTCAAGTTTTTAACTAGAAAAATTCAAAAAATGAAAACATGTTTTCCTGATTTTAATAAAACATTGTTGATTTATTTTTTCAATAAAAATGATCTATTTATGACATGTCTCTAACTTTATTTAGATAGATTTATTTTTTTTTAATATAATTCTGAGATTCTAAATGTATTTTTTTTTTTTTTTACATTAAATAATTGAACTTTTGGTCCTTTTTTTTTTTAATTTTTATATTTATGAAAACCATTTCATTGCATATTTCTTTTTTCTTCATTAAAAACATAAAAATTTTCTTTTTATTTTTTTTTGACAAATCAAAATAATTTTTCATTTCTGATTCCAATTTTTAAATAATAATGTCAATTATCCTCAGGACATTGAATTTGAATTTTTGTTAAATAAATTTTTGACATTAAAAAGTATGTAAAAAAAAGTTCAATAGGCCTTTTATAGGCATGAATGTGAACCAATTTTCTTTGGAATTAAATTAATTTTAATAACTTAGTAAAAAACAATTATAGACATGGCATGATAACTAGAACAAAAATCCTAATTGATATTTTTAAAAAAGGTTCAGTTATTTTATTTCACCAATTGAAATTTTTTTTTTCAAAAAATTTTTTTAAAATTCATGATGTAAACAAAAAACAAAATCTGATTTGAATGATTTAGAAGAAAAATGTAAATAGTGATTATTAAAAATATTTTCAAATTTAATTTTTGTGAATTGTTTTAAATAAACATTTGATCCATTTATTATGCATAATTAAAATTATATCAAAATTTGTGTTTTTTATATGAATACTAAAGAAAAAATTGATGTAGTAGAATGGAATTGATAAATATCTTATTTTAAATTTGTTTATTGGCTGAGACTTGTATAAATTTTGTACTTGCCTTAACACTCTGTTTCACACACATTTTTATATATATTGATATATATATATATATATATATATTATATATATAAACACAGGGGGGTTTTTTTTTCAGGTTAAAAAATCATGCATTTTGTTAAAATTTGCTACTATATCTATTATGAAAATTTTTAACATTTTTTGACATTCTTTTTTTTTATTTTCCAGATCCATGAATTTGTTTTTTGTCATATAAGTCTTGAAATACTATATAAAATTAATATTTTTTATCCATAATGTTGAATGTGTTTAATTTCTAAAACTTTTTAACAAGTTGATGTTAAAAATTGCTGCAAAAGATTGTTCATTTATTTAAAATGGAATGATCTATTATGACATGTCTCTAATTTGTATTTAGATACAATATATTTATTTTCAATTTTTCTAGTTGAATTGTTCACCTTTATTGCATATGATCCATTATATAGTTTGTTTTTTATATGATTGATTTGTTTTCTATGACTTATGTTAAGTCTTGAAAAAACACAATATAAAATTCATTATTTTTTTTTTCCATAATGTTGAATGTGTAAAAATTCTCCAACTTTTTAACAAAAAAAAACTCAAGTTAAATTTTTAAAATTTGTTGCAAAACATTGATTTATTTAAGATGGAATGATCTATTATGACATGTCTCTAATTTGTATTTAGATACAATGGATTATTTTCAATTTTTCTAGTTGAATTGTTCACCTATATTGCATATGATCCATTATTGTACATAATTAGGTTAAAATATAATTTGTATATGAATATGACCTTCTGAAAATTGAGATGTAGTAGAATAGGACATCCTCTTACAAATTCAGGGAGGGTGTGATGTTGTATCATAGTTTCATAGTGGTCCATAGATTCGGTGGAGGTTCCATGACAGCCTTCTATTTGCTCTGCTCTCTATACATATCAAATTAGCCCCATCTTAAAGAAAAAAGGATGCTCATAAGTTTGGTGGACTTAGGCTTTGTTGCCTTTTTACAAAAGATTCCTAAGTTGAAATCTTTAGTAGATGAAATCCCATAGAAATTCAACTCTTAAAAATTTTGAAAATTGCCAGAACTAGTAGAGCGATGTCTCGTCTTTTATAATCAGTTGGTTTCATATCTCTGGCCCCCTACAACTTGATACGCATGCAAATCAAAAGGACAATAGTCTCTTATTTATAGCAGTGGTTCCCAAAATTTTTCTGAATGAAAATTTGCTCGCGCCTCATTAAATATTATCTGATAAAATGGACATTTAAAAATAACAAAAATACAGAGGATTAAAGGGAGATAACCACGGATTCGAAAGTCAGAACATTATCATTGATAACTCTCTCCTCCAATTTGCAGACCCTAGTTACTATATCTATCCTGGGTATGACGATAAACTACGTCCAACAGCAAGGCCTCTGATCAGGAGGTTTTGAGGAGTGTGAAACCATCTCTTAATTGCTGGTGTTCTCAGGTCCACAACCTTGACCTTTTTAAATAGCTGTTAGGGTTCCAGCTATTGTTAAATGGTTAACCCCAAAACTGAGGCAAAAAGTTATAAAAGTTTAAAAAATAGATTTTAAAAGCATTTTAAAAGAGTAAAAAATAAAGGTTTTAATAAAAAAAAATTACCAGAAATACTTTTTTCTAAAAAAAAATATTACCAGCAATTTTTTTTTTTGAAAAAAAAAAAAAAAATTCAATAATATTTTTATGTTTTACAAAAATGATTAATATTTGAGTTAAAAAATAGATTTTTGACAAAACAAAATATTATTGAAGGAAAAAAAAAAAAAATGGTAAATTTTCAATTTTAACACCCAAGCAAAATATCCTTCAAATTTTGCCCAAATAGTCTTATTTCCATGCAAAATGTATATGCTGAACTCAAATCAACAATTAAAAAAAAGATACCTACCTTTTTAGATGTTAACGACCAGAAAAACATTGAACTTCTTCTCACTCTTTTTCATCCCATTTACCAATAATTATTGATAAGTATATTAAGTGCATTTTTGTTTATGTTGGTGGGCGTAAACAATTTAGGCCTATTTACTCCCTTCACAACTATTTTTTTGTAGTTAACTTTCAAATTAGGGGTTAGTTTTTTTTTTTTTTATTATTCTTTTATTTTGTCGATGTTTACATATATTTGAAAGTTAACTTTATTCTTAAATTAAGTACAAAAAAAAAATCTCTTTATAGGTTGAATATGTAATAATTTCTGAAAAAAATATTTCAAAATGTAAATGAAATTTAAAACGTAAAATGAAAATTTACTGAAAAGTTGTCGGCATTAAATAACCTATTGAAATTGATATGCCATAAAACGAAACAAACCAAACCTAGTTACTATATTCTTATTATATAATTCGAAAATATTACAATGATAAAATCGGTCAATATTTATACTGGGAATCATGGATGCAATTACAAGTAATCCATAATAATATTTTAAATTTTGAAATTATATTTATTTTTGGCATATGTATTTTTTGAAATGGTTTCTAAATCTCTGATTGTCTTTCAATCATTCTATGAGGTGCACTGTACAATTCAAGAATCACTGATTTATGAGCTATTGGCAAGGAGTAACGGTCATGCGAACTAATGAAGTGAGGGGGAACAAGCACAATTATAATAAGACTAGCAGTAGAGCCCGGCGTTGCCCGGGGATGTAACAGTAAGAAATAGATAAAGTATTGACCATCATAAAGACTGAAAAATAAAATTGACAAAGATTATTGTTTAAGGTTGACAGAACACGCATGTCTTAATTAGTTTTTTTTTTTTTTTTTTTTTTTTTTTTTTTTTTTTTTTTTTTTTTTGGTCAAATCCAATCTCAAACAAAAACATTGTTTTCAATCATTATGAGTCTATCGATTGAATAGAATTTTATTTTTAAAGAATTGTCTTGTAAATGGAATTTTTAAATATTTCTGAATGTAAAAATAAAGGAAAAAAAGTGTTAGACAATAAGAAACATGTAGGAAATCCCATATATAAAAATAACACACACACACACAAACAAACAACCGGGTTTTATAAGTATAACTCTATATGAGTTTGTCCCCCTTTCATTTGGTGACAGAATTCATTTGTTTTTTTATTATCGTGTTCTCAAATTGTTTTTGTGTAAAAACAATTGTGTTTTTTAATTTTTTTACTGCTGTCAGAACCACCGCAAGAAATTTTTACAAATCCTGTGAAAGTTTTGTTGGAATTCAATTGAAAAATGTAGAAATCCGATCCAATATATAAATTTTGAACACACAAACAATCTGATTTTATAATAAAGTAAGATGTAAAACCATTAATGGATCTAAGTACACATTAATAAAGTTAGACAGATTGTGACAGGTCAGTTTCAGAAAGTGTCCCTGGAAGCTATGAACAAACATTTAGTTAACTTAAATGTTCCTTATGTTCTGTTTGGGTTAGATTTTGTTTAAAACTTATTCTGTTCTCTCTCTTTGCAGAGGTGATTTCTCTTGGTGACGTCAGTAAACTAACTGAATTGGTGAGCAACTTGTCTGGAACAAGAAAAAGTAAGTTTTGGTGGTGAGGTGTAACTTTTCCATGGTTCAGCAGGAGAGGGTAGCCAATGGTGAAAGACCCTGATCAAAGTGAAAGATGACGCTTCCATATTTAATTTTATTCAGATGTCTCCATTTTTCACACTTTGAGCTAAGATAAAATATGACGACTACCCCAGCTGTTCTGTATTCCAGTTCGATCCCCTTGGCTGATCATAGAGTTGATTGCTTCAACCGAAGTCTTGTCTTGCCCCACATTGTGATTAATTGATTGCAAGACTGGCTTGCTCTGAATGGTTGACTGGAATCGATGACTTGCTTTTAAAAGAAGAAAAAAAAATAAATTGAGTTAAAAGAGGAAAAAAAAAGTATTTATATACAGTTCCTTGATACAAAGTTGATGGTACAGTCATTGATGGCTTAAGCAGGCTATACTCTCTATGCCAGGGGTTGGCAACTCATTCGACCCCACGGGCTGGATCGTGTTATAATGACGGGTCACGGGCCGGACGATGCACATTAATGAAAAATTAAGGAAAATTACACATGCAGACCCCTGTCAACCTAAATATTTAAAACCATAATGAAAATAAACATTGAGAAATCAAAAAAAAAAAAAAAATCTAAAATTAAAAAACAAAAATTACTTTTCCTCAAGGAATGTCAAAATACTTCAAAGTGAAAAAACTGAAGTGAAATGGATGAAATTATGACGTGTAGGTTTGAAACTGTTATTGAAAATTATTCCACAAATGAACCACACACACACACACACACACACACACACAACAACAAGCACAAAAACAAGCACATATACCCATACATACGAGTACAAATAGTTGCAAACATATACACTTAGTTATATAGACTTCCGGTATCATCCACACATTCGTGAGGCATGTATGTATAATGCGCGTATGTTTAACTGTCTTTAGATTTCTGCTATCTCGCATGTCAGTCCCTCCCTGGCCTCTTTCACTTTATCGTTCCTTTCGCTTCTGTTATCTTTTAATGTAGCCAAGGGTCATAACAAATATGTATCCATTATTTGACATTAAACGTAGGCAACGCAACTTGGTAAAATAAGTCTCATGAAAGATAACTGGCAGATAGTCTAATTCGAAAGCCTCGTCTTTCATGTTAAAAATAGTCATTGGTAATCAGGCTCGCGGGCTGGTCAAAATGCCGTAGGTTGCCAACCCTTGCTCTATGCAATAACTATCAACCTTTCCCGATTATCGTGACACACTGTTGTTATAGTTTTGGATTGAGGCTTCAAGTCAGAGGCTTTTTCTTCAGGGCAGCAAGTCACATGAGATCAGGCAAAGCAGTGGCACTCTGCTATATCTGCCGTCTCTCAGCCATAGTCTGTCCGAAGGTGTCTCTGCTGTATCTGTCTTTCTTTGCCGTGGTGTCTCAGCATTCTGTTTTTATGGACCTCTGCGCAAGGGCTGGAGTCTGGCATGATGTGCTCTGGGAATGTCCACGTTCCCTAAACAACCAATCAGAGCTCTCCCTAAATATGTGGAGTCCCTCCTCCCTCCTTGGAATTCTACCTGGGCCTTGTCCTTCTTCTGGTCACCTGATCAAACCTATTTCCTTCTTGCTTTGTGTGAGTGCCTATCACCATCACTACCTGAGGGGCATGAAAAGTCCTCCGCCTTCCCTAACAGGCACTACCACCCCATGTCACGGTGAACCTGGGAACGACGGCAATTAAGATGTGTATTTGACTTCATTCAAAATGCTTGTGATAACTACTCACAAAGGAAGTAATTTTTTTAAGATTGTCAATATTTGTGTTTTCTGAAGATGGAACAGAGGTGGGAGTGCAGCCTTTTTTTTTTTTTTTGTTAGAGAAGAATAAAAATGTGTATAATATATAACACAACCTGGCTATGTTCCACTTGGCGCTGGTGATCTCCCTCTGCCAGTCAAGCTTCCCAACTCATGTTGCTTTGAAGTTTTTGAGCTGAGAAAATTTTTGGTGCAGCTGTGACACTCCAGTTTGGACACCCACATGGGAGAAGAATATGCAATTTTTATCTTGATTTCAAGTGTTTTTCTTTTACAGCCAGCAGATAAAGTTTTTTTTTGAAGTCTGATCATTTGACCAAAGAGTAATAAGAGAAAAAGTAGATTTGAGATCAAGCGACAACAAACTGGACATTGTGGATTTCCAATTGCTGGTTTATATTAAGTCATTGTTGGGATTGACTAAGTCAGTTCTAGTCTACCCTTGGCTACCTTTCTGATACTTCCGATGATGCCCATTTGTGTTACCAGACATGACTCGTGATGTTAGGATGAGCAGTGGTTCAGTTGTCAAAAGTAAGATCCAAGCTGTTCCCAAGTATCATTACCTACCCACCCAGACTGAACTGTCAATTCTGTGAATGAAACATCTGTGTTATATTATTGACAATGAACATATTGTGGTGATTGTGTGTCAGTACAGATGCAAAAGAGACCCTGAGTCATGTGTGGACATCTCTGTTGAAGCTAGTTACATCCGGGTTTTCTTCATTAGCAGCAGAACACCTTAGCATGTCTAGATACAGGCCTCTCTGTAACTTGTCCAGATTCAGGTTTTTGTCAACTGTCTCCTATCAATAAAAGCAATGGCAGGGGGACCATCAATGGAGTGTTGGCAAGACTCAGTATCTTATGAAGACGTTCCTTTGGCACCTTTTCTTCCGGGATGTGCGTGTTGCTGGCCATGCTGTGGTTTCTTAGGCAGTGACCTCATTAGTCATTACTCAGTTTTATTTTGTTTCTTCCTGTCTCTTTCCCTTCTCTACCTGTTCCCCCTTAATTGTTAAGTGTTTACCCTAATATTGTAAATGCAACCATAATAAAAGTAAAATAAAAAAAAAAAATTTTGGCAGTCTCTCGTGGCATGGAATATGACTACTAGTTTCTGGAAACTTACTGTGGATTGGCACTGGTACACATATCACACTGTGGGTAGAACTGCACTAAGCTATTGACTTGAGTGGAGAACTTGGTCTGTTAAACCTAACCTGCCAGCTGATAAGTGCTGCAGCTTATGCTGGTCAAGCTTAGCTGCACTCACCAACATTTGTCTTTCTTACTGTTGTGGCTGCTGCTGCTCAAGCCTTGCTGTCATTTCTCTTTATAAATAGCTCTCATATTGGATTTATTTCTAAGCCTACTCAGGAAGTCTTCGAAGCCAAATATTTCTTTTTTTCAGATGTAGTTTTTAATTTTAACACCTCCAAAACAAAATCACCTGAAAGACCTTTTCCTGCTTCCTATGCACATGGCTGATGCTAACCTCCTTGAGAGTGACTTGTTGCACCTTCTTGAACTTACATTCTCAGCTGGCATGAAGTGGAAAGATTATATTGAATCTATTGCTAGGTCTGCTGCTAAGAAATTTAGTCCACCATGTTGTGCTAGACAATTTTCCTCTCCAGAATCTATCTTGCATATCTGTAAGTCTACCATTTGTCCATGCTTAGAATATTGCTACTACATATGGTCTAGCGCTCCTGCCGCATATTTAGAGATTCTTGATAAAATTAGCAGTATTATTAGTCTTCATCTGGCATCTCGGTTTCAGTCACTTTCCTACTACCATAATGTATCTTTCCTGTGTCTTTTCTATAAATACTTTCATGGAAATTGTTCGGATGAACTCTTTGCTATGGTACCTAGACTTTATGAATTCAAGCATAGTACAAGATTGGTGGTGAGGTCTCATCAATTCACAGTCTCGAATTGGCTATGCGTGTTCTATGCTGTTTCTTTTCTCACCTGTGGAACTCTCTTCAGGCTCCATGCTTTCCACCTTCGACAATGCATTTGAATTTTTGAAGATCAGTTGTTATCTATTGTCTTCATAATTACTCTTCTTTTGTTCTTGCTCATTAATGTTTTTTTTTCTTATTCTTTCACACACATTAACCACTTGTGTCTTAGTGGCTTTACTGCCTTGCATGGGGTGAAATGATTAGAAAACAAATTTAAATGCAATGTCAATCGTTATCTACTGTCTTCTTGATTACTCTTCTTCTATTGTTCTCGCTCCTTAATAATGTTTCTCTTTTTTCTTATTCTTTCACACTCAGTGACTCATTGTGTCTTAGTGGCTTTACTGCCTTGCATGGGTTGATATGATTAGTTTGTTTTTCTATGTCTGGTATATTTAGTTCATTCCACAGAATTTGATAACTACATGTATGATGCTTTTCCCTCCATACATGATCAGCTACACCTGATTTCATTGTCTCACTCTTTTTTGATGTCCCTCTAGCCTTTTACTTTTAGAGGGCATATAAATAACATAATTAATTTCTACTTTCAGAAACAGTAGTCGGCTACTTGATCAAGTGGAATACTAACACCCTTTACAGTGATGTCGGCCAGTTGATTTTGCAGAAGATACTGGACACTAGTCTACCCTCTGAACGTTTGTTGACCAAACAACAATGCTGTGAGCTTCAGGCCTACACAGGTGAGTGATGATATCGTTTATTGTGAAGGAATTCCAAGTGGCCTGTCTCATTTCAGGAATCCCACAATGTTGAGCAGTTAATAAAAGCAGACAAATAAATAAAAAAATTCTAAAAAGTACCACACTCACTGGAGTAATAATATAGTGACAGATAAGAAATGTGGAAAAAATTCAGTTAACAGAAGATTTTCCCACAGTAGGTTGCTATTTCTTTTTTGTGGTAGACTTGTTGCCAACCAAGGCTATAGGACCCATTCTGTCCTGTTATTCAAATCATAGCCGAGGGAAGAAGAGATAAAGCCAGTAAAATGCAATACATGATACACACTTGAGCAATCATGTCTCTTTTAATTCATGACTGATGAGGTAGAAGATTTTTCCCGCAGCAGTAGGTTGTCATTTCTATCTGCGGTAGATTTGTTGCCATTCAAGGCTATAGGACCTATTCTGTCCTGCTATTCAACCCATATCTGTGTAGGGGAAGAATTCATACCTTTCTGATAGGTATTTTGCACCTAATTGAATGTAATGAACTCGACTGGAATTCTAACTCGGTTCTCTTTATTGAATTCCCCTTTTCTCCACACCAGCTATGGGTTAATTAGTATGTTATCACTAAATGATTATTAAAAAAAAACAAAAAAATTCATACATGTCATGTCTTTTAGTTTTATTTACATTCACCAGAATAATAGAAATAGGTAGAATCTACTATGAACACAAAGTGAGGGATCACTTTATATATTGATTGCAATATAAAATTGATCCCCCATTTTGTATCCGCATTTTTTGGCAAAATTCTGATTAAGTATGGCTCCATTTCTTTTTCCTCATTTGTATCACTAAATCATTATCTTTTCTCCCCCCACCCCAAAAGAAAAAGTTCTTACAATCTAAAAATATTTTCTATTATTATTATTGAAGATATGGTAAAAAGTTTCAAGATAAACTCACTCCAGAGCTAAAGTGAATTAACAAACTAGTTTTGAAAAAGGCATGAAAGCATTTTTTTTTTTTTTTTTTTTTTCTTAATATGAAATTGGAAGCTAGTTGTAAGCTTCTTACCTAATGTGTATATTTAATTATTATTTAATTTTAATTATTTATTTTTAATTATTTATTTCTTTATTTTTCCAGAACGTCATTATAAAAAGCGAAAATTGCTGGATGAAAAAATCAAATTTATTCCCTACCTCTTGCAGCAAATGATTTCAACGGGATTGGCAGATCAGGATGCTTTGGGAACCAAAAACCATGTCTCATAACCAAGAAATTTAAACCTCATTTGTAAATAAATTCACTTTATTACTAATTATTTTACTAGTCTCTCTTTTTTACCATAACTTTCAAGGATTCATTCATGTCAAAAGCAAAATGGAACAGTTTTTTTTCCGATGACATTTCTATTATTTCAATTACATTCACTCCTCGGCAATGTTTACTCTTTTACAAAGTGATGATTAGAATCGATATGAAACTTAAACATATGAAAGTCAATTTGTACATTTTCTTTGAGAATTGACAACAAAAGAATAAATATTTATTAGATTGGTGCTTTTTATAACAACTAAATTCAATCTGGCTAAGGAAATTAAAGTTTGACAGGATCTAAACCTACATTTATTTTGCTACCTGCTGACTATTCATGGTCACTTGATGTTTTGTCATGTAGTAATAGAAATAGTATTTTTATTTCTTTTTTTTCTTAATAATATTGTTACTTTTTATCAAAACATCAAAATACTGTTTAATGATTAAATAGTATTTTTTTTAATTAATAATCATCTAGTCTTTATTGTATTGCTTTTTAGTCAGAAAATTTTTTATCTCAAAAATGCGGTGCTTATTAAAAGAGAAAATACACAAGAAGTTCTTGAAAGTGCAATAACCAACTCTTGATAAAATGTTAACTTATACCCTGGATTTTTTTTCAAATATTATCTTTGTTAAAAGAAATGCATCTTTCTCGAGCCAGTATACACGACCATAAAAAGTAAAAGAAAACGGTTAACTTTAAACTGCCAACTTTAAATATTTAAATAAGTAAACAAATAATTGAACAAAATAAAATACATAGAAATAAATAATAATTGCATTAAAAATAAAATAAAAATTTAACAACATTTACTCTTCCTTTTATTATGGCAATGCATTATGTTACTTAGCCTCCTCCATAGTTTTACCTTTCCTTATACAGAAAGCCATAAGAATGTTTAATATTTTTCTCCCCATGGTACTTCTATATATAAATACAAGTTATAAAATGCTCATATTTCTCTCATGTAACTTTTCATAAAATACATCTATTGGATGCTTTAGTACACATCATTAGTGATGTTTCTAGCCAAGGTTTATTAGGAGTTCAGGTCTTTCATATATATATATATATATATATATATATATAAAATAGCTGGCCACAAAAATATTTTGAAATACTAAAGAGTTTCGTAAAAATACCTCTATTGGGGTTCATTAGGAGTTTCGGGTCTTTCAACATCATACCCCTTCTCCATAGTGACTCAGCTGATACTGATCGGGTATCAACTTGTGTACCTTCCATTACCTACAATTTTTCTGTCCTTCTGACTACACACTGCGACACTTCTTAGCAATTTATAGTCCAATCCCAGATAACTTCTGGTTCACCCGTAATGTGCGCTCTTCCATAAAAAAGGAAGCAAATGCAACCACGGTTTCTATCAGTTAAGGAACATGGCGGCATACTCAGCTTAAAGTATTAAGTAATGAAACAATAAACAAAAAGTTTTCTTTCGTCTTATACAATGGTTCTCAACTGTGGTCCATATGGCACCTGGTAGGGGTGGATCCAGGTAACATTACTAGGGTCCATAGGAGTCCATTTTAAAATGGTTTATTATGAATTAATTTACTTGTGTACATTAATGTTTCATAGAATTTAGTTGTTATAAAAAGCACTAATAAGTAATATTTATTCTTTTGTTGTCAATTCTCAAAGAAAATGTATAAATTGACTTTCATATGTTTAAGTTTCATTACAATTCTAATCATCACTTTGTAAAACAGTAAGCATTGCTGAGGAGTGAAGGTAATTAAAATAATAGAAGTGTCATCAAAAGAAAACTGTCCTGTTTTCCTTTTGCCACAACATTTTTTTTGTTTTTGGTTGGGGAACAAAGGTTAAAAATTGCCAAATTTCTTTTTAGTCATTTCAGTAAAGCCACTAAGATGCAAGATTTTACTAAGTGGAGGAGAGAGTACAATAAAAATGGTGACTCTGCCAAACAAACAAAATACAATGAAATTCTAAAAATACATTTTTATATAAAAAAAAAAACAGCCATACCTACTTATAGTAGAATTACTAACAATACATTTTATCTTTAGTTGAAGGCATAGAACTATCAAATACAAAAATATATTCACAAGAGCATCATTTCAAAGACACCATCTTGGCTACTAATACAACCAAATCCTGCCCAACTAAACCTGCCTACCATTGTACCTTTAACCCTAAATACAAAAATCTATTTGATATAAAAGAAAAGTCAATAAAAACTTTTTGACTATGAATGAAAACCATCATAGATGAATTGACCACCAAAGTACAATTGAACCTACAATACATACACAAGAGCATCATTTCAAAGACACTACCTTGGCTACTAATACAACCAAATATGATATCGGAACTTACCAAACTCTGCAAAGCAAGAACCAATCCATTAAATTACCAAGAGAAAATAGAAATTATTAAAAAATCTATACCCAGATCACTCACGCTTATATATAGATGGACCTAAAAGTGGAGATAAAATTGGCTATGTAGCCATGTGGAACAGCATTAGTGCCATGAAATGACTACCAGATGTGTCTTCAATCTACAGTGTAGATATTCTGGCTATAGATCCAGCGCTAAAAATGATTTTAAGATCCCAAACAAACAAGTGTGTTTATTATCTTTTCAGATTCTAAATCCACACTTATATCAATTCAGAATAAAAAAAACAAGAATCCACACAAAATTAAATTTATGATTAGGTTATATGTCCTCTCCAACAACAAAGAAATAATGTTGCATACTAAATCACACTGGCATTCAGGGAAACGAAAAGGCTAACAAAGCAGCAAAGAAGTCACTAAATATGGAAGTATCAAATACAAAAATCCTATACAATCATTTCTGACCAATCATTAATAAGATTATTAAAGAAAAATGGCAGCAGTTTTGGAATGATTGTCATAATAAGAAACTCAACAATATTCAGCCAATCATCATCTGAATGTTTCTCTGGCTATCAAAAGATAAGAAGAGAGAAGATGGTTCTCACCAGAGTCTGTATTGGACATTCACATATTACACACACAGACATTTATTAAGACATGAAATTCCACCAATGTGTGTACCATGTCAGGTCAGGCAACATACTGTTGGAATGTTGCATCTTTTGGAAAATCTGAAATAAGTATTACAGAACGAACAATCTTAAAGAACTTTTTTGAAAACATTAAGCCAAATGACATATTGCAATCTGTCAAAAAGATTAGACTTTGTAATAGAAAAAAACATGTTTATAAGTGTTTACACAAACAAAAACTTACCTTTAATCATACCTAACAAACAATAAAACTTTTCTACCATACTTGTGAAAAATTTTTCTTCAGCCATATCTAACAAGATATAAAATTTTCCTTCAGCCATAAAAAGCTATAAACTTTTTCTTCAACCATATCTGAAGAACTATAAAACTTACTTTTATGTATACTTGACCAACTATAAAATGTGTTTACAATGCAATCAATTTGTCTCTAAATGACCCACAAGAACATGAGGGGATGTTAAACAATCTTTAGTTGAAGGCATACAATTGTGTTCAAAATATTTAGATTTCGGCATTAAATAACCCATAGAAGTATTGATATACTGTTAAACCAAACCTTAGCAGAATCAATTCACAATGAATTTACAAAGCAACCCTGACCTAAATGTTAACTTTTACTAAATTTAATATATTTTTAAAATGTGTCATCTTGAGTACTATAGAAATATAAAAATAATATTTTTAAAAAAATCCTTTCTGGCTACAATGCCTGTTACAATCAAATTTTTATTCATGAGACAATAGCCTAGTGGATTAAAAAGGTGTTGTTTAGTGAATTTGGTGACATAGTAATTGAGAGTTCAATCCCTGTGCAGTGTATATACTTGGACCCAGGGTAAACATGGCAAACAATAACTAAGCAGAACTTGATGAAATCTCCATACAGCAGTTCTGAAAGTTTTTTTTTTCCTCTGAGCCGCATTTTCAGAATGAAAATTTGCTTGCGCCTCACTAAATTTTATGTGATTTTCTGATTACGCCTGTGTAGGTACTACGCAGTGAATTAGTAAACATGATGGCAGTAATGAGGAACGAATGACCAAGAAGATCGATTTTTTTTCTTGTTGATAACTCCAAAATTATGAAGGTTTCTTCATAATTTAATTGTTAATTCGAGTTCAGCATGTACATTTGCATGGAATTATGACGAATTTGGAAAAATTTTAAGGGATACTAGCGCTCGGGAAACAAAACCAAAACCAAAAGGATATACAAGCGTAACATTTTTTTTTTTCTTACACAAACTGTCTGGCTTTCAGAAAAATACACTTCTCTCAAAAGAACGTGAAATAAAAAACAAAAAACAACCTAAACAAACGTTTATCCAAGAGTAACATTTTTAAATAAAATATTTATATGTAAATTCTAAAGGACAAAAAGAATTGGATAAATTTGCTTTCATTACATGTTTAAGTTTTATTAAAATTCTAATCATCGCTTTTTAAAATAATGAACATTGCTGAGAATATTTGTTTAAAAAGCGATGACTAGAATTTGAACAAAACCTAAAACATGATGAAAGTGAATTTATACGTTTTCTTCGTTCTTGAGAATTGACAACAACAAAAAAATAAACAATATTTATTAGATTGTTTATTGGAATGGTTGGCAAAACATTGGCTAATTGCCAATTAATTCAAACTTTATAAAATGGTAAACAATTTCCTTATAGTTGATTCCCATATTTTAATAATTTAGTAAATGTTTGTAAATTTATGAATAAAAATTGTTTTCATATTTATTTCTTTATAAATTGTTAAATGATAAATATTGCATTGCATTAGTTTTAATTGTATTATTTTTTATGTTGCAAATATAAAATTATTTTTATAAATTACAATCTAATAAATAAATAAATATTATAGGTACCTCAAGTAATTCGCTAAAAGTCAGTA